CAACAGAATACACTATAGTTTCAATCATTCATGCTAAATGCTGTTAGGACACTTAAGTCTCATGAAGTTGAAGAAACCTAAAAACATACAACATATATTTTTTGACATAAATGAAGTGGAACTAGAAATCAAAAGCACAACTGAAACTGGCTAAAACAAAAATATGTCAAAATTAAACACACTCTTTAATGCATTCATGCTCAATGGTCAGATGATTTTAAAAAGTTAAGATGTCAATACTATCCACAGTGACATACAAATTTAATCAATGTCTATAATACTCCTATCATACTTCTTTTAAAGAAATATAAAAATAAATTCAAAAGTGTATTAGGACAATAAATAGCCAGACTGTTTTAGAAATACAAACAAGGAAGAATAGCACTTCTAGGTATGAAAACAAATCTACAGGAATAAAAAAATGAGCTACTGGCACAAAGACAAACAATGAGATGAAACAACAGAATGGAGAACCCAGAAATAAACCCTTGTATCCATGACAAAACTTAGGTTCCTGAAGATTGGAATGACCATGCAATGAAAAAGAAGAGTCACTTCAACGAATGTTGTAGAAAATTGAATATTTCTGAGAGAAAATAAATGATGTTGGTACCTTCCCTTGCACTATATAGAATATATCTTAAATAAATTAAATATTAAAACATTAGAAATACATGTATAAAACTCTTAGAGAAAATATAAAGGAAATATCATGATATTGGTCCTGGCAATGTTTTAGCAGATGTACCATCAAATGCATAATCAAGAAAAAGGAAGAGAAGAAAAATGGGATTCTATCATTCTTCAAATTTTCTGCACAAAGGAAAAACTTAGTGAAGTAAGAATGCCTCCTACAAAATGGGTTAAATAGATGCAAATCACATATTTGATTGAAGTTAACATCGTGAATAAATGAACAATGGTTAAAATTCTAAAACAAAAGTGAATAACTTGACTAACTAATGGACAATAGATTGATCTGGCATTTCTGCAAAGAAGATATATTAATAGCCAAACATAATTTGAAAGCAACCTAAAAGTTGTTAATCTTTAGATACATGCAAAACAAAATCACAATGAGATATCACCTCACATCCATTACATTGATAACTTTTAAATAAATAAAAGCATATGCAGATATATACATATGGTGAGAATGTAGAGAAACTAAAATGCTGCTATGTTATTCTGAACCTTTGATTTCAAAAATTATAAAAATTGAAATACAACAGATCACAAATTTAAACTATATAAGGAGAGCAAAACAGCTATATGGTGGGAGGGGAAGGATCCACTTGTTTTATTTTTTTTCCCCAAAGAACAACAAAAATTTGGCAGCCATCCACGGAAAATTACAATTATCTGAATTTGGGGACTTAAATGGAAGGTCGTTAAACTCTAGTGGAACCATAGATCTGTGAGGGTGATTTAGAATATTCAGGCTCTCATCCAGCTGACAAACTTAAGGACCCATTGTCCTGAATACAGACTGCAACATGGGTCAACCATCTTAGATATGCAGTCTCCAATGGTTCCCTGTGACAAAGTGGGAGTGGTGCTGCTCATCCAGAGACTTTGGGAGAAACACACCTATCTGCAGCCATGGAGGCAGACCTGAATAACTTGGTCTTGCTATCATCTGTAAAGCAGAACTGTGACTCTGCTACAGCAGTCTCAACTATAATCCAGGTCCAGTTCTTTCAGTGCATAGATCCACACAGTGACCTGCAGGGACTCTTCCAAGGTACTCATTGGGAGCCATGCCCACCCACACATATGGTATTACCCTAAAAAATGCAGACTGAAATGCACAACCATACCCTAGTATGTGTCATACAGATCCAAATCCTGAAGGCAATCAATTTACCCAGAAACAAGAGAGGATTGAAAACCACCCAAGCCCTTTGGAATTGGCCCACTAAATGTAGACTCCACTGCAGAGCAAGGGGCAGTCTTGTGTCCTAGCTATAGAAACTCTTCATTGAAAACCTAGAGGAGATACCTTTAGCCCAAGAACTCAAAAGAAAAAAATCTTTACCTTCCAAAACCAATTTATAAAATCTGGGAAAGGTGTTTAATCCTTCACATGCACAAATACCAATATAAGGATAATGTCCAACCTCTCTTAATGCTTCTATTCTATATGACTTCAAGACCTAAGCACAAAAATTAGGCAAGAACATGACCAGATCCACTCAAATTAGAAAGCAAAAGTAAAAATAACACCATTTGCAGATGACATTATCTTATATATAAAAAACTATCAAGAAGATAGGAAGAAATCTTTATAAAGTAATAAAACCCCAGTTAAGTCACAGGATGTAAAATTTACATACAGATATCAGTTGCTTTTTTATACACTAATAAAGTAGACAATAAAAAAGGAAAACACTCTCATATACAATACCATCAAGATAATAGATTCCTAAGAAATATATTTAAACAAAGTGGTTTAAAAAAACCCTTTACACTGAGTATTATAAAATATTAATAAAATAAATTGAAGATGACATGAATAAATAGAAAGATATTATACAAAACAGTGTATACATTCAATGTGCTCCCTATCAAATTCCAGGGGCATTACTTGACAGTATTAAACAAAAAATCCTAATATTTGTATTATATCACAAATACCATTGAGGAGCTGTATGCAATAATGAGAAAGAAGAAAAAAGTTCCAGTATCATACTTTCAGTTTTCAAACTATATTTTAAGGTGGGAGTAATAAAAATAGCAAAATGTGTGCATAAAAACCAACAGAAATAACAATGGAAGAGAATGGAGAGCTCCAAAATAAAACAAAACATAAGGTCAAGTAGCATTTATCTAGGCACTACCAATTCACAATGCAGAAAGTATGGCTCTTGAATGCTTGTGCTGGAAAACTAGATACCCAAAAACATATGAATAAAAGCAAACTATTTTTGCTTCTATGATACCCAAAAACTAACTCCAGATGTAATAAAGATTTAAATGGAAGACATAAAACTGTAATGTTTCTAAAAAAAAATAGTATAAAGCAAAGAAAAAATTATAGAAAAACCTTGACATAAGACTTGCAATTTTCTTTTTTCTTTCTTTTTTTTTTTTTTTTTTGGAGATGAAACAATGAGCACTGGAACAAAATCTGAACAATTTGGGCTGCATCAAACTGAAAATCCTCTGCACACCAAGGAAAAAAACAAAATAAGAAAACATATAGGACAGGAGAAAATATTTTCAAAGTTTATATGGTATAATATGTTAAAACCCAAAATATATAGGAAACTCATATTTTTCAAACGTAAAACAATGTCATCACACACTTAAAAATAAGCAAAAGTTTATGTCGATTATTTTCAAAGAAAACATACCAGTTTACAACAGGAAACACGAAAAGTAACTCATCATCACCAAAACATCATGTAAACACAAATGAAAACTATGATATGGTATCTCTTCCCAACTGTTAAAATGGTTAATGTCCAAAACAAGAGACATAATACATGAGGACAAGAGTGTGCAGGAAATCAATCCCTGTAGACTGTTATTAATTGTAAATGTATAGTGTCAGCATAGAGATTTGTTAAAAAATGTAAATACTACAACTGCCTTATCATTCACCAATTCTACCTATGAGTATAACCATGTAAAATCAGTATCTTAAGAGGTTCTGCACCCCCATATGTATCGCAGCATCATGCATGTTTGCCAAGAAAATGGAAACAAACTAAATGCCTGCTTATGATGAATACACTGTAAAATAACTGTACAAACTCATACCATACATTACTAAGCCATGAAAATGATAAATATCCTGCCACTTCAAAAGCATGGATGAACGTAGTAGGCATTATGCTAAGTAGAATTTACAAAAAATAAAGAGTACCACAGTGGTTTCCAGTATGTGAAGTCAGGAAAAGTAAGATGTTTAAGAGTACAATCTTTCAGTTATAAGATGAATAGATCTTGGAGATCTATTGTATGGCAACATGATTAGAGTTATTAATAATGTTTTATACGCTTAAAATTTTTAAGACCATAGAACTCACTATTAATAAATGTTCTCACTATAATTAAATGATAAATATGTGAGATGATGGATATGTTTATTACCTTAATTATATTGTTTTACCATTCATACACACATCAGATCACTACAGTGTGTACAATAAATTTATGCAGTTATACAAATATTATTTGTGAAAACTTCCCCTGTTAAACATCCCACATACAGAAATATATGCACACACACACATATAAGTGACACATTTCTGATGCTACTAAATAGGAGGAAATTATGGAACATAAGTTATCAAAGTATTATATATCAATTGGGAGTATAAATATATTCAATTACTTGAAGCCCTGAATGAGACAGTGTATTTAAGAATTATTTAAGAATTATATAAGGTGAACAGAGAAAATAAACTATATTATAGTTTGGGTATTTGGGTATAATAAAGTTGAAATTTTACTCTCATTTTATACTAGAAAAAGAGTAAGTAGAAGTGAAATAACATTAGATTTTCTTACATTTAGGAAGAGGCTATGAATTTATATACAATTAGTAAGTCTGACTTTCTGTAGGATTGCCTCTTAAAACTTAGAATTGAAAATCAGGATGCATAAAATATGAATATCTGTCCCTAGTGTTTCTGGCATTACAGAAAAAAATCCCAATAACTGCACTATTTCCCTTTACACATTTCAGAAATGAGGCATCAAAAGGAACTTAAAACATGGTACTGGACAGGGAGGATAACATCTATAATCCCAGGAATTCGGGAGGCAAGGAAGAAGGATCACTTGAGGCCAGGATCCTAATACAAGATCTAGCAACATGAGGGGACTCCATTTTTATGAGAAAATAATAATAATTTAAAAAATGGCTGGCCATGGTAGCTCATGCCCATAGATCTAGCTACTTGGAAGACAGAAGTTGTAGGATCTCTGGAGCCCAGAGGTTTGAGGTTCCAGTGAGCTATGATCAGCCACTGCAACCAGAAAGGTCAGGAAAGCAAAACCCTGTCAAAAGATGGCTTAATCTAGAGGTCTTCAAAGTATGTATAGATGGTTCCACAACCCCTAAACAATAGAAATGCTGATAGATAATGTAGTTCCTTGTAAGCCATGACAAGAAGTTTGGCTCTCTCTGAATTCTAAGGAAGATCACTGCATGGGTAGTTATTAGGGAGTTTAAAAGCTTGGTACAGAAGATGTCCTTCTGGAAGATAAAGAGAAACATACAGTCTTCTAAATACATTTCCAATGGAATATTCCAAGCCACTTTTTAATATCTGTCTTCCTCCTTGAGCTTTGGCTCTCTAACATTTGTTATCTGCTTCACTGGATCTCACCTACCTGGATATTTAGCTGTTGTTTCCTCTTTCTTCATAATCCAGGGCTCTATCCTTTGCTCCAGGCATGTGATCAGCTCTGGCTTTGAGATGGCAAGACCTGTATTATTAGAAAAATTTCACGTGACTCTTGCTGAAGACTTTCCAATTACTAACGCAGTACTATCCTTAGTACAGAGAACATTATAGAAAATTCTAGAAAATTCCTCTGCAAGATATCATTTTCTCACAGACCCTGTAGAATGATAAAAAATTATTTCTAATTTATGACTAGAGCACCAATTCCCACTAGCACCAAATAAGTAAGAGGTGGAAATTCTATTCTAAGGTGCAGGCAACACTTGTATAGGGTACAACGGGGTAATCTGATTTCTAGAGTAACCGCTAATCTAGTGTGAAATATACATATTGGCCCAAGAAAGGGAAAGGTGCAAGATAACATGAGACATCTAATGATTTTATTTTACACAACAACAATCTTCAAATTTTCTGTAAAAGCATGGATAAATAATTCATTCATGTAAAGTGGAAACTTTTAAGAAACTATCAACAAAAATAAAATAATGGCCTTAATGTGGAAAAGGAATTCTGTATATATGTGATCCTCACCAAGGGAGACCAGGTTTCCATAGTTCTCCAACATCACCTCCCTATACAAATTCCGTTGAGCATCGTCAAGGCATGCCCACTCCTCTGGAGAGAATTCTACAGCCACATCCCTGAATGTCACCATCTCCTGTAAAAAGACACATATTTCCCAAGTGGCCATAGAGAGAGTTCTTAATTTGACTACAAGGAAAATGAGTTATGAGAACTGTTTCTGACATATGAGTGACTGGAATTATCCAATAAGATAATTTTTAGCACATTGATATTATTGAACACATTCTCTTATCTGCTGGAATGAAGATCACAAAAGATGTATGAAACTGTGTGCATATGATTATGCTTTGGATGATAAATTACTGAATACAAAATTAAGGGCCTTACTACAGTAATATAAATTTATGGGTGTTACATTTACATCACATTAATAAATTGTGCATATTTCTCACAGAGAAACATAGAGAGTTAGAAGGTATCACCTAATTTTATGAGTACAATGAAGAATTAGAGATTTTGTTAAAATACAAATTCTGATTGAGGAGATATAGGATGGGGTCTGAATCTCTGCATCATATGATATAACTGCTGATATCAATGCTTCTGGCCTAAGGGAAGTATTTTGTAAGGATGCAGTAAATGGTAGACTTTGAATTTATCGCAGTTCATCTGAACAGAACCGATACTACCCTTCATTTTCAAGCAGCTATAAGAAGAAAGGACTGCCAGATAAATGTGATGGTTCATTCACACAGTCAGTAATCTCACGGACACTAATGATAAAAAAACAATTAAGTTCCAATTGGATCTGTCGGAGAGTTCTTAGCAAGTGGAATTGAAATTACATATTTTAACAGAAAAATTGTGTTAGGTACATTGAAGGAGGAGGAACAAATCATGCTGACGACTGTAGTGCTAAAATTATATCATGAGGAAATCATCAATTTTATGCAATTTTCAGATACAGATTTCTCCTTTGTTGTTATCTTAATATGTATGAATACTTTAGATCATACAGAGCAAGTTTTTTTTCTGTTTTTTCCATGATTTCTGATTTCCTGGCATCAATGCTTTGTCTTCCTGATTCTCCTAATAATTTTTCATAGAGTGATCAAGCAGCAGATAAACTTTGAGAACACATGTTCCCTCTTCACTCAATTCAAAGACTATATCACAGGAATCTCAGACTCCACTATCTATCTTGATCTGTCCAATGTTACATTTCAAGTCATGTCATCGTTTTATACAAATTGGCTACTTTTAAGCTTATGGGAGAGAATGTAGAGCAGGCTCTGTTAGATACGGAGGACTTTCAGAGTTCCTGGACTATCATAAGAGATAAAAAAATGTTGTTGAACATAACCGATATACTCAGATCAGTAAAGAAGTAAAGGTTTACAAGTTCAAAAAATTGAAGTTCTACATTACTTTCTAGGACAAACAGTTGACACAACCCCTAATCTGGGACACACTTACCTGAAAACCAGCCATTTCTTCCTCCTCTTCTCCTACTCTGAAATTTCTTTTCAGGTGATATTGTGTAGAACAATTAGAATTAAATCTTGAGACTGCCCTGAAAGGAGTCAGCACAATTTCTTCCCTTGTTTCCACAACACTGACAAGCAGGAGGAACATAAAATGCAGAAAGGCTACACTCAATTTTTCTTGCTCACAGGAAAGAGTCAGCTATGATCAGCTCATTCATGGAGACCAAAATGGGAGGTTCTCCTGTCTTTTCTTCCTGTTACCTCCCCCTGCTACAGGTGCCAGGAGTTTTTGCAACACGAGTGGAAATATGGACCACACTGATTTGTCTCTACCAAACTCAATAGAGCAGAAACTGTGACTTCTATCTCGAACAAAGGCTAAACTCAATTCTCATGAATGTATGCATGAGTCCTAATGATTGACCCTGCTATCAAATTAGAATTATTTGGGGCACAATTAAAACCACATGGATGTTCCCATCCAGCCCAACAGGCAGGTGATGGTGTTTCTTCAATCGAGCCAGGTTATCCTAATTGAAAGCCTGGGCTGAGAGGTAATTACCTTAAAATTGTCTCTGAAACATAAATGTGAATGTCAATCATGTGGCACTGTGGGCCTCACTCTAAGATATGTGGTCTGCTGGTGTGGAAGGGGTACATTAATTGAGTTCTTTGTCAGGTCCCCTTTTAGTGCTGATGTTGCTCAACCTAGATCCATTATTAGTAGCACTCAGGTAGAGACAGCAAGCACAGCATACATACTGCCTTTTGCCCAACACTCATCACAACGAATACTTAATTTCCAAAGTGAAGACCAGCATAATGCATTGTCTACTGAGCATGTGCTATGTGCTCACAAGTATGGTTTGTTACACTGTGAAGAGCATTTACATTGTATGATTTAATCCTTGTTATACCAGAAAAGGTGAGTAGTAAGTGTCCAATAATTTACAGAAAAATTTAGATGTGGTGCCAGCCTTTCTATTCATTTCACACAACTATAACATGACACTACACAAGATCTAGAAAATTCTTTACACTCGCCCAAAATAGGTCCTTTCTAAGTCAACTTACAAGTCCATGTTGATCTCTTACACTGCAGCATTTGTCTCCCCTGAGATTTTGGTCCATCCTCAGTCCAAAGTATGTCAGTGACTTGTGAATTCCAGGTTGAGGCCAGGTCTAGTTTGGATCGAAGTTGTGTATTCTTTGCTTTACACAGATGGAAGGAAAACAGGAAGAGAAATTCCTCTTTGGAAGCTGCTCTTATGCATCCTGAGAAACCTCAGACCTTGGATTCAGAGTTCAGAGCTGCAGATTTAGGTCTCCATGGAGGCATGGATTCAGCAGCACTCACTGCACATTTCCTGGCATTGGGGCAAGAAGAGAAGGCAGAAAGGGAGTTTATGTGTCCAAGCCAGAGTGCATTATCTTGTTCCCATTTGTGTCTGAGCCTCAGGGTTTCTGAGTCTATTTCAGTGATAAAGAGATGTGTGAGATGCCACCATTTAGAGAAAGAATAGAACTCTGCTGAGTTTTGATCCTATGAGAGTGGTATTCACAGCGATCTGATCTAAAGTATGCTCTTGAGCGTACAGCTAGACCAGTCAACAGAGTCGTTAGGACTTACTGTGTGCCGCAGATGTTGGGCACACAGAAGTTCTCTAAGACTCTGTGAATGTCTACTGTCCCCTGCCAGAGCACCATATGGTGTAGTCAGGATCCTGTGAATACACTGCTCATAGGATAAAACATCAGTAGATCTGGATTCTTTCGCTCTAAACCTTGCCGCATCTCACATCTTTATCACTGAAATAGACTCAGAAAACCCTGAGCTCAGACACAAATGCGGAAAAGGTATTGCACTCTGGCTTGGACAGGTGAAACTCCTTTGTCTGCCCTTCTTCTTCTTGCCCAATCAGCGAAATGTGCAGTGAGCTGCTAATGAATCATTGCCTCCCTGGAGGACCAAATCTGCCAGCTCTGAATTCTGCCATCAAGGTTGAGGTTTTCTCAGAGGCTTCATAAGAGCAGCGTTCAAGAGGAATTTCTCTTCCTGGTATTTCCTGTCCGTCTCTGTAAAGCAAAGATACACAACTTCGATCCGCAAACTAAACCTGGCCTTACACCTGGAATTCACAAGTCCACTGACATACTTTGGACTAAGGAAGACCAAAATCTCAGGCGGAGACAAATGCTGCCCGAGTGCTGAAGAGAATGCAACGCATCGGACCTTGGTTAAGTTGACTTAGAAGGAGCCGTATTTTGGGCGGGTGTAAAGAATGCTCCCCTGTTGTAGTGGTCCTATGTGTATAGTGTGTGTGCAAAAGAATGAGAAAGGACTGGCACCACATATCTAATTTTTTCTGTAAATTATTGGACCTTGACTACTACCTTTTCTTGTATAAACAAGGATTAAACTCACACATGCTAAGTATTGCTCTTCACGCTAGTGCAAAAAAGACCATACTTCTGAGCACATAAGCACATGCTCAGTAGACATTGCGATTATGGCGGCTGCTCTTCAACTTTGGAAAATTAAGTATATGTTGTGATGAGTGTTGGCAAGAAGGCAGTATGTATGCTGTGCTTTGCTGTCTCTACCTGAGTGCTTACTAATAATGGATTCTAAGTTTGAGCAACTTCAGGCACTAAAATGGGACCTGACAAGAGAACCCAGCAATGAGCGATTACCTCTTCGACAGAAGCCATGATCTCATCTTCTTAGATG